TAGGATAAGTGTATTAGATTCCTATTGCTGATAAAACAAATTACCACAGTAATGATTTAAATAACATTCTATCATATAATTCTAAAAGTCAGAAGCCTGAAATGGTTCTTAATGGCCTAAAATCAAGATGTATACAGGGCCTCTATCCTTCTGGAAGCCCCACAGGAGAATGCATTCCATCTCCTGCTCCAGTTTGCAGGAGCCACCAGCAGTCCTTGGCTCATGGACCTTCCTCCACTTTCAATGCCAGCCAGGACAGCATCTTCAATCATCCTCTCTCATGCACATTTAGAGCATCAGTGTGATTACACAGTGATAACCCAGACTAATCCCAGATAAATGACTAGCAACTTTATCCCATCTCCTATCTTAATTACCCTAGTAAACTAACATATTCAACATTTCTTGGGATTAGAACATGGACATCTTTTGGAGGCCCTAATTCTATTTACTGCACAGTGTTTTCCCAATGTAAATTACTTGATGTCACTCAAGTGCCATTGCATTTTTAAAGAAGTGAACAAAAAAGTTATCACCTACTATAAAGGAGGGAAAAACTTTTATTTCAAAATTACATACATGGAAGATCCTTGCTTAAGACATAAATCTACTCACACCTGACTCTAAACACAGGACACAGCCTTACTCTCAAATTATGACCTACAGGCCAGGACCTGCAGCATCATTACCACCTGGGAGCTTGTTAGAAATGCAGAGCCCTGGGGTCCCTGAGGGCCTGATGAATCAGATCTTGCATTTCAACTATAAACCCATCTGATTTGTAGGAAGTTAGAGAAGTGGTGGCCTAGAATAGGTTTTCTCATCCATTCTCTGTTGATATTTTGGGGTGGGATCCTTCTTTGTGTTGGCTGTCCTCTGCGCAGTAGCTGCTGGCAGGCATCCCTTCAGACATGTCCAAATATGTCCAGGGGAAAAGCACTCTGGTTGAGAAACTCTCTGCCAGAGTTTAAGAACTGGGAGCATCCTGACAGATTACAGTCAAGACTCTATCCTTTACTTTCTTTATATCTGTGAGCAGGACAATAAGCCCCTCTGAGCCTCATTTCTAAAAATGAGAATGTAGCTCATAAAGTTACTACCGCATAGAAATACACTTTTGTAAAAATTAAATTTGACAATCATTCTAATATATTAAGCTAGGTTATTGTGCATAACAATATCTAGTTTCATATTATAATTGGTAGCATTTTATAAGGAGAGACTAAATGACAGCTCTTAACTTCTAAGTATGAAATTCCTTATAATCTTGGAAATGCTATCATGAGGAAAAAAGTATAGTCCCTCTTCTTAAAAGAGGGATAGTAATTTTCAGAGTTATCAGGATCACGTCCCCCCACAAATCAAATCATTGAAGACCCAATGCAAATGATCACAACAAATCCTCAATATTAGACTTTTAAGGAAATCTAACTCAGGATTGGTATGGTGTGCTGGGAGGTTTAAAGCTCTGGAAGCAGGAGAGTTAATGGATAAGGAGTAATTAAAACTGAATTCACCTGGCATGTAATATGCTCTCCTAGGAACAGAGAATCAGCAGGAAAATTTTCCATTCTGTCCAGACCAGTGTCCACAAGGGAACTCATGCATTAGAGGTTACAGTAACAAGAGGGAAGCATGCCTCATGGGCAGGCACAGGAGCTGTAAGTATCTCCTCTGCTGCAGATGCTCAGTGGGCTGTATGGGCCCTGGTTGGCCCTTTCGGAATCTTAACTCCAGCTGGGAGACCAATGTGTGACCCCTTCCCATTGTCTTGTTTGGGGAGAGAGTTTTGGCTCCCTCATCCACCATCCACGGGGTAATATTCATTTCCACAGGGGAACTTTCCTGTCACAGTTCCCAATCAGGAAAGTCCAAGAGTTCACCAGACGCTGAAGGACAGTACCAAGGAGGATGGGAAAAAGAACTGGTGCCTGAGGTCACCTGAGAACCAGACCCGCAGAGCCCAGATGCCTGAGATCATTGTGGGTTTGCTGGCTTTACTAATAAATTAATGTATTCATTCATGACGCTAAAAAGAAAAGTGAACCTTGACCTCAGAAATGCAAGTGTTCACACTGACAATTAAATGATATTAATGGAAGCCCAATTAGAAGAAATGGAGATCTAAAATACTTCCAGTAAAAGTGGAGTATAAGTGCAAGGATCTTTTTGATGAACAATAGTACAAAGTGCATTAGCTGTTGGGGGCATATGTAGTGAAGTGAGGGCATTTATTTTTATTTTTATATGGGGCATATTAGACTATTTTCCATATAGATGAGAAAGATTCAGATCAAGCAATTTTTGCAAATAAATCTTTGCAAAGCAGTGCATGATACATATGTATCACCGTATCTTCACTCACTCTAGCTAGTCACATGAGAAAAAGTTGATTGAATAGGTGGAACGGGGAATGCTTTACTGTGAAATATTTCAAAGGCTGAATACATTTGTGGGTTTGCTACCCATTTTCTTCCTCTTTTCAAAATTGTGCACATCCTTTGCTTTTGGATGGTGGTGTCAGAGTGTTTTCATTACTCTTTTTCATTAGATTCTTTCAAAGACTTGGAATTTTTTATGCAACCTATATTCTGTTCGGTTCTTCTGATTATGTATAGATGTGTTGTGGAGAATGTATAATAGTGTGTACATTCTGTGTTGTCAGATATATCAATCAGTCAAACTATGTCCTCTCCATTAAATTTTTATTTTTATTTTTATTACTGAAAGAATTCAGCACTTTCATATTCCTCATATACCAATCCTTGCTATAAACAAAAATGGAAGTGCAAGCTCATTATTAATAATGGTAATAAATTACCCTTTATCTACACATAATTAAACTTTTTTCACATCTCTGATATTTCCTTATTTTACCTTTTGACATTTTGTGACTAGATCTGTCTCTAAAAGTTACATCACCTTTGGCCATCACTTGAAAGGCATTTTTACCATTTGACTAACGATCACTTCTATGAGCATATTGGAATCCACTTATCTTATATAAGATGAAATGTTAATGTAGATACTGCTTCCCCCTTGCACCTTAAAAGCCTTTTTGTTATATTCTGTTATTTCAAGTCTTTGGCAATTTAATCTTGAATTAGTGACCCATGTTGGTATCATTAAATTATGAGGCTTGTATGCCTTTGTAGAAGTTAGTTGTAGATTTTCATTTAATTTTGGGACATACAGTTCTTTTTAAAACAACATATGTAACCTAATTTCATTCTCATTAACAATCTTTGTTCTATAAATTCTTACTTTCTTTTAAAGCTTCTTTTTCTACATGATGTTCATATATATATACATACTTACACACTTTTATACAAATGTTTTATAATTTATGGTTGTCAGATCTAACAGTCATATGAACAATATAAATAGCTTTTAGTGTAGTTTTTTTCTACATTCTGTCCTCTTTCCCTTCTTTCGCAATGAGACCTTATGGGCTTTCCTCCCATGAACTAGTCATGTAATGGTCCTTTATTTCAATGGCTGCAAAATATCTCCTGGAGGGGCTGTGCACTCACACTGGGTTGTCTTGCATATCCATTCTCCAATAATTGACTTTATATCACTGCTATGAAAATGTTCTGGGATAACTAAATTAAAACAGTGCTTTTCAACCAGAAGTTATTCTTTTCCCTGGAGGACATTGAGCCATTTTTTTGTAGACTTTTATGGTGACTTTGGGACAGGTAAGTGGCAGCAAGGATGTTCTGTACATCCTGCAATGCAGAGGACATATCCCACCACAGAGAAGGATCTGGGCCAGGATGTTAGTACTGCAGGGACTGAGGGTCCCTGAGGGTTTTTAAAAATTTATTGTTAATACTCACATAATGGAAAAGGAAAAAACAGATATCAGAAAGAAGAGAAAGACAAACATTGTAGATTACTTTTCATAACTTAGTAATATTCCACATGTATATATTAATGCACTTCCTACTCCCACTCATCTATTAATGCACACTTTGGATGCATTGATATAATGGCTGTTTTAAATAATGATACAATAAATGTAGGTGTACATGTTTCTTTATGTATTTATGATTTCAATTTCTCTGGGTAAACTCCCAGAAGTGGAAATCCTGGATCACATGGTATTACTATTTTTAATTTTGGAGGAACCTCCATAGTGGCTGCACCAATTTACGTTTCCACCAACAGAGCAAAAGGGACCCCTTTCTCCACATCCTCATTAACACTTGTTAATTCTTGTCTTTTGGAGAGTGGCCATTCTGACTGGGTGAGGGGGCATCATCTTGTGGTTTAGATTTGCAGCTCTCAGGCTGGCCACTCTGCTCCTCAGCGTCCTCTGACACGACAACTTGTCACTTTCCCTCTTGCTCGTTCCCCTTCACACACTGGCTGCCTTTTGAGCCTCAGTTTTCTGAAACAAGCATCTTCTCTGGGGCCTTGGCAATGGAAGGACACCTGCTGGGAAGCCACTTCCCCAGACAACCCCAATCTCCTGTCCTATCTTCCTAGAGGTTTCTGTTCATGTCACCTTCTTTGCAGTTATTGCCTGAACACCCAGCAAAAAAATAGCCCACCCACTCTGTCCTTTATACCTGCATTCTTTTTCTTCATAGCTCTTATAATGAAGGGACATGTTATTCGATTATTTTTATTTGCTTTTTTCTTTCTCTATTATTGGATTATAGGGACTTTCGTGTTCAGCTCTCCATACTCATTGCCAAGACAGACCCTAGAACTTGATCTACATTCAATACGTACTTATCAAATAAATGAAAACTATTCCCAATCAAACAGTAGCATACATTCTGCTTGAGCAACAGGCCAAAAGTAGGAAAGGAAATCCCACTGAGAAATGGCACCAGGGATGTTCTCAATGGGACTAGACCTCAACATACATTGGAGTTATTTTCTTGACTCTAAAATAGAAATGGTAGTATTTATGCTACATCACTAATGCTTTATTGTGTGAAAATTTGTCATTTATATTTCTGTATCTTGGTAAGCACCTCCCACACATGGATCAAAGGAACCTTACAGGATTTTCAGAGTTTCTTCTTCTGGGATTTTCAAGTGAACTGCAACAGCAGCCCCTCCTATTTGGGTTTTTCCTGTCCATGTACCTGATCACTGTGTTTGGGAACCTGCTCCTCATCCTGGCTGTCAGCTCAGACTCCCACCTGCACACACCCATGTACTTCTTCCACTCCAACCTGTCCTTTGTGGACATCTGCTTCACCTCCACCACCATCCCCAAGATGTTGGTGAAAATACAGAACAAAAGAAAAGTCATAACCTATGAAGAATGCATCAGCCAGATGTGTTTTTCCATAATCTTTGGGATTTTGGACAACTTCCTTCTGGCTGTAATAATCTATGACCAGTATGTGGCCATCTGCTACCCCCTGCATTACATGTTCATCATGGACCCCCAGCTCTGCAGACTGCTGGTTCTGGTGT